TGTCTGTGTGACGAAAATTGGTATGTAGTTAGAGATATGTTTTCTAATAGTTATATAAATTTGGCTTTAATTTGTTAACTCTGTGTTAATTGTGTTTATCTGCTACAAGGTTACCCAGATCAACATATACCTGGGTAACAACAACAAAGATGAAGATAATAGTTCACATGTAAACAATGATAACTCCTAATACCTGAAATTTGGACAGGAATAGCTTTTGTTATTACTAGTTTTAAACATTTATATGCACACACACACACACACACACACACAGAGAGCATGTTCCAACAAGATTCTACTCCCTTCCAAAAGCTTATGTGATTCAGGAGTAACTGACCAAGAATTCTTACAATCATTTCACTCCAAATATGTGACCTCCTTGCTCTCCTGATTTGAACCCCATACAAATATATCGAGAGAGAGAGAGAGAGCACCAGTGAACCCACAATGCCAAAGACTTGTTGAAGAACATCATTATGAACATGATGGCCAATATGGATGAGAAACCTGCCTGAGAACCACCAGATGTGAGTTTTCAGTTTCATTCCTGACACCACGGAGGCTATCTTTCATACTGATGGCAGTTTTATAGAATAACTCCTCTCTGTTTTCTAAGCTGAATATGTGTACAAAAATTTTGAAAATATACCAATATTTTTTTCTGTTTGATATGCAGCCTCTATAAGTTATTTATTTCTTTTTTCTACCTCTCTCTCTTTCTATATATATATATATATATATATATATATATATATATATATATATATATATCATGAGACAAAAAAAATGGATGCACCCATAGAAATGATGATGAACAAAATTGTTATATCGGAATAAAGTGTCACTGCTGACACTTGAGTTTGAACATAGATTGTCAGTGAGCAAACACAGGTGATCCCATTATTGGATTAAGTGGATCATGTGACCATTGGAGAAAATGCATAAGTAGAAAGTAGCATGACATCTAAACAATCGCTATTTCTAACCTATCCTCTATTACTATATAGACCACTATTCTCTACTCTATTCACTATACTATTTCTCTATTCAGATTACTATACAGTGGTTATTTTTGAGCAAGTATTATCAAGCAAGTACTAATTAGTATGAGCTTATTTGAAGGTATCTAACACCAGTATTGTTTCAACGGCATACTATAGTTGTATCTATGATTACAAAGTCTCTGCTACAATGAGCATTATGAAGTGATAATGAGTATTCATTGGCATCACAAAAGTTGGCACCAAATGTTCATTGATATTACAAAAAAAATATAAAGCTTATTACATTTGTATTTACATTTATTAATATGCCTTAGCATTGTTCTGACTTTGAGAAAGGCCAAGTCACTGCTTTTCATGATCTTGGGCTGTTGAATAGAGCAATAACTGATAAGATTAATTGAAATGAGTTATGTGTCAGCAAGTTAATCAAAGAGAAATCAAACTGGAATATATCATAGATGTAGCAGATATGACTGACCGCTAAAAACTACTGACAGGGAAGATAGAAACTTGGTTCATCAATGCAAAAAAGATTGATTTGCAACAGCACAAGATGTTTCCAAAGCAGCTAGTTTGGTGGTTTCTTTAAGAACAGTCAGATGCAAGCTTAAAGCAAAAGGCATAATTTCCAAATACATAAAAAAACACTTTTGTATCTGGAAAAAATTGATGGACATTGTTGGCTCATTTACATTGGACTAAATCTGATTGGGAAGATGTTATGTGAAGTGAGAAGAGCCCCTTTACTCTCATGAAGGACAAATACATGTTTGGTGCATGCCCAGTGAAATGAATGCTCCAGTGACTACCAAGAGCACTGTTTTTTGTTTTTTTTTTTTTTTTTTTTTAAAAAAAAAAAAAATCAATATTTGGGGGACATTCAAAGCAGAAGGAATTGGTATTTTGTACAAAATCAAGGGAGTCATGGACCAGCAACAATAACACAACATTCTTGTTAATCAAATGTGGCTTTCTGCTAAAAACCTTTTTGTCCAAGCTCAACATGCTAACGATCCTAAACATACTGCCTTAAAGAATAAATGCTATCTAGAGAGGAAGCGCAACAAGGGTAAAATGAAACTCTTCCAGTGGCCTAGTCAGTCCTGATCTTAACCCAATTGAAAACCTTTGGGCGATAATGGACAAGCGTGCTCTTTATAGGAAAGTTAACACAGATGAGCTTTTTTTGCGAAGTAAAGAAATGATTGAAAAATCTGGCTGACTTATTAAAGAATTTAGTCTATAGCATGCCACAAGAATTAAGGCTGTTATTAAAGCAAAAGGTTACCAAACAAAATACTAAATTATTTTTGACTTGTATAATGTACACCTGTTAATAAACATTTTATTACTCAATTGTCTTGGTAAAAATACAAAAATCGACCTTCTATGGGTTCATCCATTTTTTTACCTTGTACTGTGTGTGTGTGTATTATATACACACACACAATTTTGCTTTGTATATAAGATGCTCACATTGAGAAATATATTATAGAAATAATATAATTTCTGTCTGAATTTCTGGGATGAGGAGTTATCACTATTTACATTTATGCTATTGTCGTCTTTGTTGTTGTTATCACGTTTTGGTGTTGTGCCCTCTGGCCTTCATTTGGTGTATATCAATCCTGGTAACCTACAGGAAATTCCAAAAATGAACCCCTTTATTTAATCTACATCTAATCTAGATGGTTCTCATTCCACTGTCCATATATAGAGATATCTCGTCTAATTCTTATACGTACTGCTCAGTTATTGCTCACCTTTTTTCTACTGAGTCCAAGTACACATTGCCTGAACCAAGGATTGAATTCACAATTCCCTGTAGGTTACCTGGATCAGTATATACCTGATGAGGGCACAATGGCCAAAACCTTGCTATAACAATGATGAGGGCAATAGTCGAAATGTAAATAGTGTAAATAAAAATAATATATATCATAATTATAAAAATAATATAGGAAATTTTGTAGAGCATATTTCAGGCACAAGTAAAGCTTCATAAAACACAAGCCTGACCATCATTTTGTATTATAAAGGTGTATTGGTAGAAGATCAGAGTTGTTGTTTTTTTTTTTTGAGGAATTGTGTCTTCTGTGCTGAAGAACATGGTACATGCATATGCATGTATGTTTTTCATTGATCTCATTTCATTTACTTTATTTCATTAGAATTTTGTTTTTATTGAAGCTTTTTAATTCCATATTTTAATGTTGAAATATCTTTGATTTCTGTTCTTTCTTTTTTTTTCTCGTATTTCCAAGGAAAAAATAATTTTTTTTTCTGTTTGAAAAGCTTTTTGTTTTCTCTTTATATTTAATATATTTTTTCCAATTTCTTCATATTAAATACTAATAGCTTTTATTACAATCATTTTGTAAGTTATGCTATTAAGATTGGTAGCAAAAATGCTAAAAATTAATGTCACTCCTGAAAGTAATAGTTCATCAGGGAATTTTTTTTTTTTTTTACTGAGATATTAATGTTTTGTATAGTACTTAATTACTCATTATAATAAATGTATTGAACTTAAAATGTTTTTACTCTACAAATTTCCAGTAAGGGAATAATTATGGTTTTATGAAATTACATGTAGACAAAGCTTATGATTTTAAATATTTTTAATAACATAATTAGCTTCTTTATGTGTTATATGCAGCACTAAAATTATCTTAATGTCTTTTGATAAATTAATTTTTATTTTTTTTAACATTTAATTTTTTTTTACTGCTGAACTGGATTTACTTTTGTATTGTTGTAAGTGATTTGGGCTTATAACAAGTTTGTACATTTATTTTGTGTTTTATAAAACAAATGTGTATATTACTGTCAATAGTGTATTTTGCAATTACCTATAGTTATGAACAGAAAATATAATTTCTTGAGCATAGCTACAACTTGTAGCATTTTATAAACTATCAGTAACTAAACTTGAACATAGTGATTTGAAGCCTATTTTTAACTTGTATATTTTGTCAATTCCTTGTACCTAGAACGTAAAACATGTTTTTCTTTTATTTATTTTAGTTTTAAAATTTTTATTGGAAAATATTAGAATATAAATTTGTTTTTATGCAAAGTCTTGATAGATTATATCATTCTGTATGTTTATAAATTAGATAAATTTAAGTAAACACAAATAGCTTTGATGTATTTTTCATATGCATAGTGATAATTCTTGGCCAAAGAAAAAAGAATTGATTTTTGGTAATTTGGTCAGATTTTGAAACTGCCTTCTGTGTACTTTTGTAAGGAGTTACATTTATATCCAATCTAATCTGAGAATTTTCTAGTCATTATGATATCTGTAATTCAAAAATATTGTAATAAGACTATTTTTATTATAATTGTGAAATGAACTTAAATTTTAACATTTTATGAAGAAGATATAAACTTTGACTGTTGCTATTATGCAGTTCAGATGGGCATATTTACAAGCTTACCTGTTTTTATTTTCATCCTAACTATATTTAGTACAAGCAATGAAATTTGTATTTCTAATGATGCAGTAAGTGTAACTTGAATCTTAAAAATAGACAGAATAGGAAAGAATTATTGAAATCATTTAAAATTAATCTAGATTGTCTATTTTATTACCATCTTTGATAGACCAGGTAAAGAGTTGCATGGCTTGGTGTAGGTGATAAGGAAGATAAAATGAGAGGAAGTGTAGTTCCAGATAAAAAGGAGATAACCTTATATTTCAAACAAGAGGCTAGACAAGGAAAGATATTGTGGAAACATTTCTCTACATGAACAGAACTAAAATATAAAAAATTATTTAAGAAATGATGATGCTTGTGATCACATTTAAAAAAAAAAAATCATTTTAATAAATGCATTTATTTGAATTTAACACTTTTTTTTTTTTTGAATTAAATACTGTGTATATATACTTAATCTTTGTTTTCTGATTTTAACAATTTACAGGAATTTTAAAATTCTATTTTCTAATGATTATTATTATTCTAATAATTTTTTTAATTTTCTTTTCAGGAATTGATGACACAGTTTGCTGCTATATGTGTAATGGGCATTTGCGTGAATGGGATGAATCTGATAACCCCTGGATTAAACATGCAAAATATTTCCCCCATTGCCTCTACCTGAGAAATATGAAGGGAGATGCATTTGTGGCTGAAATCTGTCGAAATTTGGAACATTTACCCAAAGATAATAGGAACCGTGTATTAACCCAACGGAGTTTCACTACGTCTGGTCATGTTGGCTTTACTGGACAGACTGGACAAGCAGGTTTCTCCAGCTCTCTACCTGAAGTATTCTCTACTTCTGGACAGAGTGGATTTGCAAGTTCACACCATCCGAGTAGCTTCACAAATCCTAATCTTACTGGACTATCCAATAGTAGCCAAAGAGCATTTCTCAATTCAGGACAAATGGAGTTTTCTAATAGTAGTGAAAGACCTCTATTTGGATTACCTTACCATAGTAATGTGAGTTCTTGCATGGATCCAATATTAGATGAGCTCCAACTGTTGCCTGATGTAAAAGGTTCTGTGGATAGAGCAGCTGTTGCCAGCCATTTAAGCAGTCAACACCGACAGCTACAGCAGCCACAGGCACAGCATCAGGTTCCAGTTCCATCTGTCCAACCTTCATGGAGCAGCCAAGAAACAAACTCAAGACTCTTTAGTTCCATTCATTCATCAGTAAGTACACATTTCAATTCCAATATCAACATAATTAGTCATTTGCTACTTGTATGTATAGTAAAATTCATAAGTTAGATGGCATGTATTTATTTTAAAGTAACATATTTTTTTAAATATTTTTCTAAAAGTAAAGATTAAAAAAATTTTTTTAATGCAATAGATGTACTTTTTACAATGTTTTTAAAATGTCATTTCATTTTTAGCTTTTTAGCTTTTTGACATTAAAGATATTTGAATTGTGTATCTGAACTTAAGGTTTTTAATTTTTTCACAGAAAGCTGTTATTAAGATGGAAAAATGTATTTATATAATTGTCACTCTTAGCAAAAAAATAAGTTTTTTTATTTGTAATACAAAATGTTAATATATTCTGCATGTATGTTCAGTAATCATACAGTAGTATTATGAAGATAAAATTAACAAAAAATAAAAATTCTTTATAATTTCAAGACAGGCTATTAGCACATATTAGGAGTTCTCAGAAATAATTAAACATCTATTTTTATACAGGTCTCTCTGTTGAGATTATAAACCTCTATCTTTATATATTCAAGTGTGACCTTTTATATTTCTTTCTCTTGCAAACATTTTATGTCTTATTATCCACAACTTTGTAATACAATTAATGTGTTATTGCAGTATTTTTCCAGATTAAGTGCTTTTTCTTTTACTTAATATTGATGCAATATTTTAATGTTTCAAGTTTTGTTATGATACAGTTGATTTTTTTTTTTTTTTTTTTTTTTTTTTTTTTTTTCAAGTCATTCTTAATTCTGAAAATTGGGTTCTTTCTATAATTTTTGTGTGTATAAATGCATTTCTAGTTTTTATTATTTTTGTAGCACAAGAGAAGCACATGAGTTTGATCATTTACTGTGCTTGTAAAATGGTAGATGACAAATAAAAGTTCCGGGGAGGGGGTGGAGACATTACTCCTCCTCCTATGTCTTTAAGACTTATCTAAACAATCTGAGACTGTGCTTCAATCGATATATTTAATTTTATCTTTTACAAATATATAGATATGTGAATTCACAAAGGAAAGTTATGATAAATCAAATCTTAAATAATCTTTAATAAGAGTAGATAGGTTCATATATTACCTTGTTCACACTCCTCCCCCCACACTTTTTTTTTTTTTTTTTTTTTTTTTTTTTTTTGCAGTGGAGGTTTATTCCCTGTTTCCTGTTTATACTGTGTTCCTTCTCCTAAAGTATTCTCATTTTCTTTTAGCCCCAGTAACCCCCTTTTGTCTTAATGGCACTATCACATTGCTTGGGATGAAATGATTAAAAAAAATTAAAATAATATTGTATAATCCTGTTAACTTTATATTTAAGCATCTAGTATGGAAATCAACACTTCTTTTATATCTGTTGTTTATCGTTTAATCACATTTTTTATGACAATGATTTAATAATTAATACCATAAAATTATTTACTGTAATAGTTAAGTGCAATGGAGATATTGTAAATTTATACATTTTTGACTAGTATTTCTCTCCTGTTACTTCCGTTCAAAGCTACATAGCTAAATTTGAGCTTCTGTAACCAGTGGCTTTCACGGCCTAATTGGTAAGACAGGAAGCCTGCCTATTCAAGGCAGCTAAGAAAAAAGTGATGAGGTTTATTCATTATTTTCAATCCATTCTGAATACTAACAACCATTGAGGGTAACGGGCATGGTGAGGTTGGGAAGTAATAGAAATGAAAGAAGTACTTTAATTATACTTGACAATGCTTCAGCTGATAATAAATTCAAGATAAATAAATCTTTAATGAATTACTAAGTTATAAAACTATCTTAATTCAAACATTTCTTTGTCTGAAAAATAAGGACGATTTGTACAAATGTGAATGTTTATTAAGGTTGATGTGTGATGAAGCCCACCTTTTAATATCAAGCTTTTTGAACTTTACTGCTCATACTTTACTTTATTCTTTTCATAATTTTAAATGAAATTATGCCTTTCTAAGACTATATTTATCAGTTTACATGATTACAAACTGATTTGTTAATTTCATTTAGATCTTAGTGAATAATTACATTCAGTTTTCATACCAACTGTTTGTTTTAAATTAATTCTTGCTAAAAGCATATGTTCCAAGAAATTCATAAAAATCAATGATTAGGTTGTTTATTTATTATCCAGCAAGTACTTTAAATACCAGGTATTGCTGGTAACTGTGCTTACAAGATAATTCAAGAATAATTTGATGGATTTAGTAAATGAAGCTAGAGTAAATATATAGAAATCATTTTCATGAGTATTTTTAAGGCAAATAATAGAAATTCCATCTGAATCAAATCATAAATGCTTTTTCTATATTTCTCTATTTTTTCAATTGGAATTGCTTGGCTAATTTTCTCTTGATTTTAAAGATAAATGTTTGAAGTCCTGATGCTAATAATAAATGTTCTAGTAAATAAGTGTTTCTTTTAATATTGTCAGATAAATATGCTAAACTCATAAAAGCAATCATTAGAAATTTGTAAAATCTACAATAAGCAAAATACATTTAAGCATACTTTACAGAGAAATTGATTCTGTGTATATAATGTATTTATTAGATTTAATTAATTTTAAAAACGTTTTTTTCTATTCAAGGATTTAAATATAACTTACTCCATTTGTTTTGCCTTTATTTTTAATAATTTTTCTTGCTAAAATAATTACTGTACTAACATAGTCTTTGTTATTCAACTTCAATGTTTGACATGATATAGTACGAGAATATTATTATTCAGTATCATTTGAAAATATCTCTGGGTTATGTAAAAAAGGAAATTAAACAGAGGTAGAAATTTTAAATGTTAATTATTTTTTGGTGGAAGGTACCAAAATGTATAAAAATATTTTTGGCAATACTGCTTTTCTTCTGGCTAGCTTAGTATTTCTCTTAATCCTTGGAATGATTGTTGGTGTACCACTAAAAATAAGAATGAAAATTCTTATCATATTTCACTTGCATTATTTAATTATGATTGGTCTGTTCCAAATTTCATGGCTTCCTCAACAACAACAAAAATTATTTCCTAGTAGAGTGATTTTGATAGATGTGTGAAACACCCATTGAGAAACAAGTGAAATGCTTGATGATTTGATAGATAAACAGACTGGTCAAGCTTTTTTATTTCCTTGAAGTTTTTGGTTTCACCATGTATGATATGAAAAAATATCAATATAGCATTTTGATCAAGTATTTTAGCTTAAACAAAAAATTCACCGTTGGCTAAGAATTAAACCTATAAACATAATTCTGTTGACTTCATGTACCTTATCAAAGTTCAGTTCTGCTGTTTTTAAAACATCTTCATTGTCATTCTAAGTACTTTCTACATTTAATAAATACATTTAGCCAATATCAAAATCTTTTTCATAAAGGCAGAGAAAGGTTTCTAAAAGACAAGTCTTCATTACCAGAAATCAAAAAAGATGGTCATGCTATGAAACAATGCTTAAAACTAATCTTGTTTATGGTACTCAAGATAATTGAAAATTTTGCCTATTTTTCCTATAAGGAAAGGAAATGAATTAGAAAACTGAAGGCAGAACCTACAAGTTTATTTGGTTGCAGTTATGTGATTGCTTTCAAAATATGACAGCTATTCGTATGTTTATGTCTCCATAGTTGGCCATGTCTGACATACATAGTGCCTCATTCTCATTAACAGCTGCTACAAGCAGATCAGTTCACTGTCAATATTTCACTAGTTGGACCAATATATAATCAATAACTGTTACTCAAATTGGAAAAAAGACAAAAAGTGATATCAGCTGACACTTGTACTTTACATACAGTTGGCCTCTTGAAACTATTTTGTTCTTTGAATATCATACAATTATTAACATTAGTAAATTTGGTTCCAGGATATTGAATTTTCTATTTTCCATTAGGATATTTTTTTTTTTTTTTTTTTTTTGTCTATTTTAAAAATCAGAACAAAACCTAAATTTTTTTAGGTTTGTGCATATTTAATAATTTGAAAATTTGTTTTATATGACTTTTTTTCTTTTTTTAACTATTTGTTAAACATGAGATTGTCAAAGATTTAATATTCAAACAAATGTAGAGAGATTCACACGATTCTCCAGTCTTTTGAACAGAAGAGGAGGTTTATCGCTTGTTTCTGGTTTAGGATTGGGTTTCTAGTTCTTTCTAAAGTTTTTTCATTCTCTTTCACTTCCAGTAGCCCCTTGCATCCTAGTGTCATTATTATTGTCCCAAGTGGCTTGTGATGAATTGATGGGAAAAAATGATTTTCTTCAATTGCTTTTAATAATTTAGTTTCTTTTAGAATAACTAACTCAAAATGTTGTATATTACAAGCAAATAAAAACAAATCTTTGTAAAATTTCAGCTAATAAAGAGTGTCTTCAACATTATATACCAAGTGATTTTTGTCTGTCTTTTTGCTGTACTAGAGTTATCTTCCTTGAACTGATAATTCCAAATCAGTGTTTTGGTTATCAGATATGTCAGCATCATTTTGTAACATATGAAGCTAATTATATGATAAAAAATTCCATCCATTCCAAATGTTTGGTTATTTAGGAATTTTTAAGACCAGGAAAGCAAGTTTTAAATAAGAGTGGTGATTTCTTTTATCAATCTTTCAATCTAGTACTTGAAAAATAAAAAATACTCAATCTCCAGGATTTATAACTTTGTTCTATATTTAAATTTGTTAATTTATATAATATTTATTTAATATATCAGTATGATTTATAATAAAACTATTCAACAATTATACAGTGAATTTAAATATTATTATTAATTATTATTATACCAGCATTAGTTTTATATATTTTAAGAGTGAGGATGAGAAGGAAAGAGCTAGTAAGCACACACACACGCAAATTATTTGAGCCTTATTTTCTAACTTGCTGAAAGGAGGACAAATTTACAAGTTGCTTATTTGAGTTAACTGTAATAGAATAGTTGGCTGTGTCTTGGCCATTGTACTTGTAATGGACTATATTTTTTAAAATTTTTATTTAATGACCTATTTTGCTGTTTTGGGGGGGGGGTTGTATTGAAGAGAATAGAGAACAGAGGTATATTTAATATTTTGATCATAAAATTTAGCTTAGAAATGAAATGAAAATCCTAATTTAATTTTTGTCCAAAGTTTTTCTTAAATATGTAATTTCTTTTTATGGTTTTAAAATGTTTTGATGAGTGTGTGTATGTGTGTGTATATATAGTACATGTCACACAAAAGAATTACTTAACTGTAATTTTCTCTGACTTGGAAGTTTTGTGGTAATATGTCCACTTTTCAAGGGGTTGATGCATATTTCCAATTATAATGAATATATTTTTTTTTTTTTTTTTTTTTCAAATATATTTATTCATATCTCAATTTTTGTACACACTCTCACACACACACACACACACACACACACACACATATATATATATATATCTATATACATACACACACACACTTTATTTTTATCATGTCTCAAATTATTTTTGTGTAATTTTTTTTCCTTTTTAATTCAAATTTTTATTGAAATACAAATACCATAGGAAAAAAATAATTCCCATTTGTTTCAAATATTAAATGAACACATTTACATTAATTGTTACTACTACTCAAAAACTTGTTTAAAATTTTTATATTTACGAATTTCTTTGAAATGTACCATTGATTTTTTTTCAAGGGTGTATAAAAACCAAAATACAATAACTATAGTAATTAATTAATTTTTTTTCATCCTAGATTCAACCATACAGAATTCTTGGCCTTGAGCCAAATGATTGGAGAGATGCAAAGGTTTGCAAAAAAGACCCCAGCCAGCAGGCAGACAAGTACCGTCCAGTAAGTTTAGTATTTGTACACTGAATGCTACTTTTAAACATGAAATCAATCTTTGCCTTTTCATAGCCATAACCTATTATATTTGGGGGTTCATATGATGTCTCATTTTGAGGAGTCAAACTCTAACGTTTTTCATGTTTCTTTTACATTTATCTTCATAGATTTCATTACTCAAAAATTCTGCAAAATTTTATTAACTTGAGCTTTTCTATTTAATTTTCTCTCTCAAATCTTTTGCATTTAAGTTTAGAATAAGACTAAGCCACCTTTTTTTTTTTTTTTTTTTTCCTTCATACAGCAAAATTTTATTAAATCATATATTTAAATTTTGCATGAAATTTGCAGACATAGTAAAATAACCAAAATGTTTAATATCTAATACAGAGCTTCAGAAATATTTTGTTAAATTCTGGTTTCTTACTCTTCTATGATTTCAAGTTCCATGTGTAAATAATCATCAGGTAGTGCAGTAAGGATACATTTTACATGGAGAATGATTTCTTACTGCACCCTTGCTGATCATTTATGCATGAAGTCTCAAAAGAGAAACTAGAATATATATATATATATATATATATATATATATATATATATATGTATATATGTGTGTGTGTGTTTTAAAATTTCATATTACTACATTTTAAAAATGTTTTTGACATCAATTATTTTCAGTATTACCAAAATGAAAATAATTTTTTCAAAGAACAATAATTTTGGTGTCAAAAAGCTTTTTAGCAAATTCAATTATTGAATTAAATGTCATCTTGTATTTCTATTTCAATATTTAGTATATATATATATATATATGAAATTGTAATAAAATTACTTTAAGCTTACACTTTTGACTATTTACAATCATTATATCATTATTTATGTATGTGATGATTTATCATTTTGAAAATAAGTACCTTTTCAATAAAGATTTTTTTTTTATATTTTTAAATTATATTTAATTTCTTTTACATAGAAATAGTTTTTAAAGAAAAATTAAAATTTCCTGTTGCTTTCATATATTGTATATTCTCTTGAAAGTGTTGGGTTTATTGATGAATAATTATTGTAAAACCTTTTTGAAAAAGGTTTAGATTCTGAACACTTAAGTGTTATTTCATGTGTAAATTTAAAAAAAATGTTGTTTCTATTATTACACTATAATTTCAGTAATTTCAATCATATTTTGGGGTTAATGTTTTCAATTAAGACTAAATAATTTCTATTAGTTTTGTAGTTAATGATGTAGTGAACAGACTTGAATTTAAGCATAACATTTGTTTAACATTTTAACTTTGGCTCTAATCATACCTATTATTTTCTTTGCCTACTTTGTTAACTAAGAAGCTATAAATATTTTAAGTATTATTGTTATCTGAAGATTGATTTCAATCCATTCCTCAGCCATTTATTGAAATCAGATTTCTTTTGAATCAACTTGGAAAACATTTTGTTCAACAGAGGCCACCCTCTGGTTTATTCTTTGTGCATTTTTACCTGAAGACAAATGTGATCATCATTTTAGTCACTGTTCAGTGTGCTGCAAATTCCATTAAGCATTACTTTGTATGCTTGCCTTCTCTCTCCAAAAAATACTTAACTAATGAATAGATGACTAATCTCAGTGACCTTGAAGACCTTTTATAATATTTATGTTATAAATCAAATTCTCGTAAGCATTAAAAATAATAATAAAAATACATTCTTTTGAAAAATATTAATATTGTTAGCATCATTCAAAAAAGTTAATTTGTTTTGGTATAGATACTCAGCATTCATATTGCTGATACAAGCTTACAGATAGTGACTAATCAGGTTGTGTTAAAGCTGATATCAAGTGATACCATAAATTGCTCTTGGCAATGAGCAAAACTATTCTCTTGTAATTGAGTCAGATGATCAACTCCGGTGAAAGAAGAAAATTAACAATGTGAATTGTTGAGGAAAATTTATATATATTCCTATTTTATAATGAAACAAGGTCAAATGAATTTCTCAGTACTTTAACAAGACTAATAAGTCTTCTCTCTCTCTCTCTCTCTCTCTCTCTCTCTCTCTCTCTCTCTCTCACTCACTCACAATAATGTTTTAGAGTAATAGGAAATATATGCATGATGGATGATCCAAATTGGGAAGTCAATGCTCTTGACTGAAATGGGTAGTGACCTAGCATCCAGAAAATCCAGCAATCCTCAATTTCAAGGGTAAACAATAAGAGAAAAGCCATTGATGAAAATATCCAAAAATTTACATGCTCATACATGTTTATCCTAGCAGACCCTCACGTCAAAGGCCACACTGTGTGACCCTACTGTAACTACCAAGCTTGTCAACTTAACAATGATCTTACCTACACACACTCTGGTAAGTTGTGTTCCAATCAATCTGGACTGACCAGACACTTAACCAGCTAAGTTAGAAAGTACAGACTCCCTAATATTCAGTGGTTTACATCTGCCATCTGTGTAATAAATTTTGCAAATTACTTGCCAGTGATGCTTATACTCATTTAATGAGTCAACAGTCATGTTTACTTTCTCAAGTTATGTGCACTTGCGAAAACTGTTTTGACGTGAACTTAAGAATATAATGCTCTTTATAAAAAAGCAAAGAAGACAACCAAGTTTTGCCACAATTTCAATCTCCTTAACTATGTTGGTTGTATATATAAATTAACCACAGAATGATAAACTAAGCTATTATCAAGATGTTAACAACTCCAGAATATGAAGAGTCAACTTGTAGATTTAAAGTCTGTCTTATTCATACTACACAGTAAATAAAATATGAGTTATTCATTTGAATATCTGCTTTAGAATTATAAAATTTTGCCAATTTAAGTTTTTGTTTCTGGTTTCTCCACTTGTACAATTCAATAGACAAATAATCATAAATTCAATATTTATCAATAAATTACAAAATTTATTTTCATGCAACAATAGCTGATTGTTTTCTTTTGTTTCTTATTGAGTTCTAGATTCTAATAATTTTCCTTATTTGTTTCTTTAAAGAAAACCTATAATTCACTTAAAAGGCAATACTTTCATCTTTATATGATAGTTAATGACAAATTTAAATGTGATTAAATCTTTTTGTCAAATGTTTTAATTTTTTTATATGAGTATTGCTAAATTAAAACAATTTAAAACTAAAAAATAATTTGATTGTATTTAAAAGTATTTTTTATATCTGACTTTTTTTCAGCTTCATGCCACTCCATCTCAAGAGTCAAGTAAGTTTTGTGATTTCTAAAATATAAAATTGCTTTAGAATTATTTATATAACAAAATATCACTTCAGTTATCATTACATCTTTTTATTAAAATTCTCTATTTTTTAGTGATAACATTAATTTATTCTGGTTTTTTATCTTAAAACTTGTAGAATTTATTTTAAAATTATATTTAATTTTGTAAAAATCTTTTTATGAAATCTTTTTTTGTTTTGAATATTAATGACAGTAGTTAATGCTTTAACTTTTGAGGAATGTGTTAGTTTTTGCTATTGGCTGAAAGAAAATGCCCAAAATTGCTTCAAATTTTGGTTAATATAAAAACACAAGAGATTGTGGTTTTTATAGTACAAAACAATTTGGTACATTTAGCTTAAAGTGTGATTGTATCATTAATAGAAATTTTTTAAAATAATTTTTAGATCAATAGATGAAATAAAATAGTGTTGTGCAGAGAATTAAAATATTTAAGAATTATTTTTTAACATGAATTTTACTTAGAATTCATTTGTCAGATTTTAGCCTTTTTAAATAGAACAAAATTCAGATAAATTTTAAAAAATGTAATTCATAAATTTTTCAGATCCACAGTTTTCCTTATATATTTGGTAAATGAAAATTTAATGCAAAAAAAATCTCTAAATTTATCAGTTGATCCAATATTAACAAGTGTTTTTCATGGAATTCTATAAATTTAGTTAATTATTTCATTCTGGAGATCAACACTGATAATTTGATGAATGGAAGTAAAATAACTTTAAAAAAGAAAATGGTTATATATATATATATATATATATATATATATATATATATATATATATATATATATATATATATATATATATATATATATATTCCTTTTAACCAAAATATCTAATTTAAAGGTATCTATTAAAACATTTTTAGTTACAAATAAAATCAAAAACACAGTATTAAACTGTATTTGTTGCTACCAGTTTGTAATAATTTAGCAAGTGAAACACTGCATTTAATTTAGATAGTGGAATAAATAATCATGTTTAAAAGTCAAGAATGTAACAGGAAAGCAATAATTATCATTCATTCACAGTCTAGAAATGGAAATAAGTCTGACAGTATAATAGTCTCTGGTAATTTCTGATATATTTTAATTCTTTAGCATATATACATATTTTTAATAAATGTTTACCCAATACAAGTCTCAAGAGCCACTCAAAGTAGAGGATTACTAACTGACATATGGATGTAAAAGGTAGAAGTGCAGATTATGAGGATAAGGTTAGGAATATTAGAACATGAAGAGACAAGGTAGCAAAATCTCAACATCCTCAAGTAGTAGTGCATGTAAGAACTAACTGGATCAGTTGTCAGAGAGTGTATACTTCATGCCATCAAAAAGCCCCATCAGAAACTACTGCACTGTCCAGATCCCATTCACAAAATGGCAATACAGAAACCTTGATATTATACAACTGCTGATGAGATAGCTTCCTTAGGTGTTACTCTAAGGTTCAGATCCCTGACTATAAGACAGATAATACCCACCTAGAAAACATTTACCTCTCAGTAAAGAAAATACAAGAATAATACATAAGTTATAAACATCATGCCTTAGAAGGGGGCCAGCATTGAGAAGCTTGCTTGTAAAAACTAAATGAACCACAACAAATGTTGCTAAAGAATGAGCTAATATCTCCTACCTTCATTGAATTTAATATTACTGTAGAATTTGGCCTTGAATAGAAAAGCTAGCAGAGAGATGACAGAAGAGTTAGTGTAATAATAATTTTATAATAATTTGATCTATATTTTTATGAAGTGGTTTTTGTGATATGTTGTAAAATGATTTTTTTTTTCAGCTTCATGAACTACATTTAACAAGAATGAGAAGTCTCAATATTGTTTTTTTTTAAACACACACTTCACAATTAAGAATTTCATGCAAAATTTTAAGCTAGTGCTGAGAAAACTTTTCCACACACTTTACAATGGAATGGAGTTACTCCAGTATAAGTTCTGAAATACCTCTATAAATTATCTTTTAGTCAAAATGATTTATCATACGATTGACACTGAAAGGGAGTCTCTCTTGTGTAAGTTCTCATGTGACATTTTAAATTAACTACTGTTTGAGAAAGCCTTTTCACAAATTTCACAATGAAATGGTGTCATTTGAATATGGATTCTCATATGCTTTTTTTATTTTATCTCATAGAGAAAATGATTTATTACACACTTCATACTGACAAGGAGTCTCAACTATTTGTTTTTTTAAGTGGCCATTTTGAGTGAAACTTTTTCCAAAGACATGATATTGAAAAGGTGTTTCTACTTTGTGAATTCTCATGTGACCTTTTAGATTACTACTGTCAGAGAAAGTCTTTTAACAAACTTCAGTGAAATGGAGGACTTATTCCAGTACATGGTAATCTTTATTTAAGGCCAAGTCATAGTATAAGTCATGGCCAGGACTGGGAGGCCTATCTCAATTTCCATTGTTCCACATACCATAAAGACTTAGTTTGGATTTGTGATAGTTCACTGCTGTAGAAATTCAAAGAAAAAAAATATAGATTAAGAGCATAATTAATTTGTCTTGAAAAGTTAATTCTCTTTATCTTGGTATATTTTTTTCTTTACTAAGGTCTTATTATAATTTGGTGGAACTTCAGATCCATCACTTACCACCCTATTAACAAAGGTGTACAAAATGTTATAATGTATTTTAATATTTGAGCTAATTATCCACAGTTTTAATGAAACAAAAATCATATCAGAACTGAATTCTGGAAGAAAAATATGACACAAAAATAATTAAACATGAAAGTAACGTTTTCATTTATTTTGTTGTTTAGAATTAAAGTAAATATTGTTGTGCTTATTTATTTTGTCATAAATATAATTTTTATGATTAGAAAAGTAAAAGTAGAAAAAAATTTACATTTTAAAAATGCATGGTTAGGGTTAATGTTTTGTACATTTCATTTACAATATTTAAAAATATTGTATTAAATTTATTGAATTTAATTGACATTAACTTTAGATAACAACATTCTCTATAAATGATTTTCATTAATTTTGTAGCATAAAATATTTGCTCTTTGTTTTTTAATGGCAAATTAAACTAAAATTCAACATACACTTTTAAATACCTTTTAGAAAGAAAAACAAATTACTCATAAAAAAATATTTTATCAATACATTTCTTGTTATGAATAACAATATCATAGAGGAAAATATTAAATTAACTTTATGTAAAAAATAACATTTTAAATAACTTTTGCTGTGTAAAAACAGATTTAGAGAAGAAACATCTGTTAAAAATTAAACAAAACTTTATTAAAATTAACTTTCTTGGGAGAAACTTTGTAAGATTTGTAAAAAAAGAGCAGAAAAAATTAGATTAATTATTTCTTTAAATCAAGTAAACATTATAAAAAGTGTAGTAAAAATTCTACATACTTTTTCATTTGTTAGAAACAGAAATACAGATTACACAAAAAATAAATTGATCACTAATTTTGTTGCTTTTATAAATAAAAATTTAACAAAAGAATATTAACTAAGTGAAAAATGTTAAATTAAGTTCCAAGTAACAAAACTAGGTTTCCTAAGTTACATTTCTTTTAGTGAATTTCACAAAAAAATGTTTCTTTTTACAAAGAAAACATAAAATAATATAGCAAGTCCAAAAGAAATAAAATAAATAAATCTTATACTGACCTCAATTAAACAAGCTATTCCAAATGTAAAAAGGAAAATTTCTTAAGCTGACTACAGCAGTGAACTACTGCAAACCCAAACTGAAACCAGTGGAATGAGATTTGAGATAGGCCTCCTGTTCTGGGCAAGAAAGACACTATGTATGACATGGTCTTAAATAAAGATCGCCATGCTCTGGTGTGAATTCTTTGAGAGATATGTTTGTTACATACACGGCAGTGAAAAAAGTCTCACCAGTCTATATGGTTTTTCAACTGACCATTGAGAGAGAATGATTTTCCACATATTAAAATCAAAATGTTTTTGAGGCAAATGTGTTTTCATGTGTGGTTTTAAGTGATTAGCTAAAGAAAATGATTTTCTGTACATATCACTCTGGTAAACTGCCACTTCTGGGCAAGATTTCAGATGTTCCTTTATTTCAGTTACAGATACCAACTTTTAATATTGAATTTTTACTTTTAATCAATGTGACATAAATGGATAACAGCAATATTTTACCTTACAGCATTTTTTAAATATTTTTGTAATACTTTATATATACTAGTTATCATTGTACTGGCAACACCAATGCAAAGGTGGTAACTCTAGAAGTTGTGGATCATCAATTACCATTGGTGCCTGTGGCAGAATGTTCACTCAAATAACTTAGGTCTTCTCAGAGTTTGCAGTTTTATGTTGCTCATTTTAATGAGTCATAGTTGAGTTCTGACCAAGGTGATATTTAATCTATAGGTATCGCCTTGGTTCTAACCAGTTATAAATGATGTTATGCAATTTTTTTCTCTTTTATCTCTCCTACTTTCTGTTGTTGGGTAAACTAGTATTGAAATAATTATGGACTTTATCAATATGTTCATCATTTTCTTGATGACTGAAGATGGAAATTATCTTAACCAGATCATGATAAAGGTTAAAATTTTCCAACAGCAAATTAAATGCTAAAAAAAAAAAAAAAAAAAAAGAGAGAGAAAATAAAAAAGACAGAGTTACTTCCCTTAGGAAACATTTCAGGAACTTTTCTTTCAATTGAACAATTTTATTTTATTTAAAATGATTTTAACTAACTGAAAGTGACATGTGGGTGTATAATTTAAAACAAACTTGACAATAGATATCTACAACTGACTATAAGTTTATTTTGGCCTAAGATCAAAATATATATTAAATATCCATAAGATTTGAATATACTTTCATTAGCTTTTTTAAGCTCAATGTAATTATTTCAAAATGAACATGATTTTTCTTAATGCTGTTTGGCATCATTTACCAAGGATATTTTGCTTCAGTGATATAAACAGACTGAACACAAATAGAAATCATTTCAAATTTTATAAATGTTGAACTGAATATTATTATTTCTATCAATGTTTCATTGCCGAGTTACTATGAAATATATAAAAAATTAATCCAACATGATGGAATCTTGGATTAATCACTGAATTCATCACTGAAAAGTTAAAATAGTTATTCAAAAACAAGTTGAGATTCTACTACCTTTTTAATGACCTCTTTATCATTTTGTCATATATCCAAGAAATGACTTCACCAGAAAATCTTAAAAATAATCAAGATCTATCTATATCAATTGAAATAAATACAGAATGACTTGGCTGGATAATTTTGTCTTTTTAATTGTAAATAGTTACTGATATGAATGAAATTTTTTTTTTTTTTTTTTTTTCCAGGTTCTGATTCATGGAGAAGCAAATTGTTGTTGTATATGCAACAGCCACGAGTGCTACATTTGCTGGAGAATGGATACAGTGAACGAAGAATTAGGAAGGTGCTCAAACGCCAGCTACAAAATACTGGTAGGCTTTGTAGTATTGATTATGTATACAAACATTTACTTTAATGCTACACATATTTTTAAAATTTAAATTATAATAACTCTTTAAGAAAATTTAGCAGGTTTTTTAATTTATTTATTAAAAGTAAAATAATTGCCTTTTTTTTTTTCTTTTTCTTTCAGTTTCTCTTTAGCACCATATATGCTTGTAGTTAATTGTATATTTTCTTCTGATCTTTTTTTGATTTTTTTTTTCTAAGATTCTGAATATAACAAGTTTCACCATGAGTTTACAAGAAAAAAGTTTTTCTCTTGTTGGTTGACACAGAAAACTAATTTTTGGACAAGACTGGTGATGAAAAATAAGATTTATTACAAGAATCCAAAAAGAAGAAAATTGTTTCAAGATTAAAGACAGTGTTAAATAAATTTCAGCCTAAATGAAATCTACTAGAGAATAATTTTTTTGTTGTTGTGTTTTTGTGGGATTCAAATGAGATTCCCTATTTCTTGGTAAGGAAGTCATAACCTAGTTTGTCATTTATTTATTGCATTTCTCAGGGCACTGGGGGTTACTTGGCTGTACCCATTTCCTTTCCAAGTTAGATGTGACAAGTTGTATTTGGTTACATGGTACACACTGCAGTGAGGATTTCGTGACCTGACTTATAACCCCTCGGATCTAACTGATCTGCTTTTTAACTATAGCTGAAGGTGTTGGGGGTGGGTGACAGTGTATTCAGGCCTTTCCCAGGGACATTAGCATGAAATGAATGCAAACTATTCCAGTCAGTTTGAACTTGGTTTGTTGATAACAATTAGGCTACACAAAATCTGATTGAATGTGAATTGTATCACTTGGTTAAAATATAAATGAATCTAATACTTTTCAAATGTTTTTTAGGTGAAAACTTTGTGAGCCGAGAAGCCATGTATACAGCTCTTAATGACACTGATTCAGAGGATGAAGACCGCCACCAGTGGCCTCACCATCGACAACAGCTGCAACACATTCAACAATTGCAGCAGCAACAGCAACATCGGACATCAGTTAATGCATCTCTCCAACACTCCCGGTCTTCTTTACCCCAACACACACGTTCCCCACCACCAGCTGTGCAGCAGACACCGCCTGCCCCATCACAGCGACAGATGCAGCACCAGCAGCGGTCAGCTGCACGCCATCATCATCAGCAACAACAGCAGCAGCAAGCTGCTGTTGCTGCAGCTGCTGCAGTAGTGCAACCACAGCATCCTGCAGCACCACAGGCCTCACCCCTGACAGCTGTACAGCACCAGGCTGCTTCATCGTCGTCATCATCAACATCGTCGTCATCATCTTTACCATTATCATTGCCGTCGTCTTCATCATCGACAGCACCAACCGTGGTCCCATTACCATCACAAGTAGCAACATCTGCTGCAAATGTCCAGCAACAACAACCCCCTCCACCACCTCCTGCACAATTACGGCAATCACCAGCCCCTGCACCTCAGCAGCCACCGCCACCACCACCTCCTCCTCCTCCTCCACCTCCTCCTCCTCCTCCAGTGCAACAACAGCAGTCTCCTCCACTTCCTCCTTCGCCACAACAGCAACCAGTGCATCAACCTCCTTCACCACAAGTACCATTGCCAGTGGTACCTACTGCACCGCAGTCCCCATTGCCACAGCCCCTACATGCACCGTCATCACCACAGCCACAACCTGTGCCATCTCCACATGCACCACCATCACCTCATGTCCAACCATCACCATCACCACAGCAGTTTCAACAACAAAGTCTTGAACAGCAACAACAATCACACTCACAACAACAACACCCACAACAACAACAATCACAACAACAACAGTCAGCTCCACCACAGATTATTAGTGAACTGCCTCCAGTTTCAGTGAGTGCTGAGAGTAAAGCACAGTCCAGTGTGAATGTGCCTGTCAGTAATTCTGAGAAAGAAGGTGACAGCACAGATAGGTCTTCACCCTTCACTACCAAACTTGATGAGACGTTAGAATCAAAAGATGGAAAATCAGATTCAGCAGAGTCTGAAGAAAAACGAAGTAAGTATTGTATTCAAATTCGTTTCCCTAAGTCTTAAAACATATTTACTTTCTTGGATCATTTGTATTTTTAAAATGTCTTTCATAGATTTTAAAATTTTGGTCATCTTTTATAATCTCAGTATAAATTATCCTAGTAAGTTTTTAAATAACTTAAGTCTGTACAATGATTAGAATCCCATTATCCAAAAAGCACTTTGAAATGCAACCTGAAAGTCCTATAACTGTTTACTTTCAAATGATTTACATCAGGTCTATGGTTTACCTTGATAATTTTTATGGCAATGTAATTTCTCAGTGTATGAAATATATTTTAAATACTATTGATTTAGTAAATCCTAAGATTTATCCTAAAGAAATCTAGAAATTAGCAGTGGTTCTAGGCAATGGCTGTATGGTCATAAAGCCTAGAAATAACAAATTGTGTTGTTAGTGTTCAGAACTTAAAAATATTAGTTTTCCAATTTTATCTTGCTAAAAAAATTAAGCTAAATTAAATTCGAATAAACTATGTGTAATGATTAGAGTTGTATATATGATGAAAGATTTCTCAAGATTCAACTTGATATTATCTTTCATTTGTCTAAACATAATATAGATTGTAAAATATCTAAACGGTCACTGACTTTGCAATGAGCCTTGTAAAATATGTTGCCTTAAGATAATTATTGCTTACTCATAAATTGACCAAAAACTCTTAGAAACATGTCAAACTGAATTTTAAATACACTATTTACATTATTCGGACTACTGTCCTCATCTTTGTCGCCATATTTAATACAACGTTTCAGCTGTTGTACACTCCGGCCTTCTTCTTTAGACCGTTTGAGTTCCACATGCCATGTTTAATGGATGTCAGTTATCTCCTGTTAATTCCCTTCTCCAAGTTCTCCACTGCCTTAACTGGGTATTGAACTCGCACTCTTTAGGTCTTGTCACTGGATCTAACTAATGCCTTTATCCACTGTGCCATGTGTCCTTGAAGACATCTGTGTATGAATTTCTGGGTATTATAAACTTAATGTCTTCAGAAACTATTTTTTATTAGTGCTCATATTGCAATTTTTGCTGTTATCATTATGTTTTTACCAGAGCTCATATTTCAATTTTTGTTGTTATTATCACTTTTCCCTGGCACTCCTTATTACTGGTTCCCATATTGTATTCATTTCTATGCTTGGTTGGCTCAGGAGATTTTTGTGGCCTAGCATATGTGCTAATTCCTTAAGTTTATGAATTTTCCAATGGTGTTCTTTGTCTATGATCTCAACCTGATCTAACAGAGGGCGGTGATCTCCCTTTTCTCTCCATATGTGATCAGCCATGCCTGATTTTTCCACTTCCCCTTGTGTTACAGCAATGATAACAGCAAGTCCAAATAATGTAAATAGTGTACATAATACCTCATCTCAGAAATATAGACAGATACTGAATTTTAAATTATATTAACCTTTTGTTAAAGTTGAGAGATTGATAAACTTAATTCTTCAATGAGATTTTTTTTTTTTTCATTTCAATGTTTAATAAATGATTGAACTTTAAATTTTAAAAATTAAGAATCTCTCTCTCTCTTTATATATAGAGGTACCTCCCAAAGAAAACAATACCTAAGGTTTAAAATGAATTTTTAAAAATAAAAAATCTTTCTTGAAGCTTTTATTTTAGTTGTAATTTCAAGCTAATAGATTAAATTGAATATTTCCAGTAAGCAAAATACTTTACTGTATTTCAAAACTAATTTAAATTGACTAGGAGTTTTTTGTTAAAATAACTGATTAGTACCATCTTTCATCACAATGTAATTCTCTTTATTAAAAATCTTCCAAAAATAAAATATACTTTTCTGAAATTTTATTTGAGGAGGAATTTAAAGTTTAATTAATCTGATGAAACAAATATTACTTACTTTAAGCTTAAAATATCACAGAAATGCATTTTTAAAACACTGCGGTAACTGTTTATTTAAAGTGTATGGAATTTTTAAGTACTCAGTAATCTTAAAAATTTAGGAAAGTATTCTCTGTAATCTAATTCTTGTAAAAATTCATTATTCATCAAAAATAATGTCTTAGTTTTATTGTATTTTTATTTTACAAATCAAAGCAGATTTTCAGTAACTGGTGTTTCTGTTTTACAAAAAAAAAAAAATTGATTTAAATTCCCCAAGTAGTTATGTTTTAACTAATATAAACAAAATTTAATTTCTTGTTAGAGCAGAATTTTTGTTAACAATAAATCATGTGACATTGTAATTTGTTCCATGAAAGAGGATTTTGCAAGAAAATAGTGTTTTTATTTTTATTTATGATGTCAGTTGTCTCTTTTAAGCTAGTTGTCTATAAATAGAATGATCAAATAAAAATAATCAGGTACTACAAAAATATTTCCCTGTATCAATTTTTTGAAAACTAAGTGAGCAAATCACACAAAATGTATAACCATTTATTCTAACAAACCTTCAACAATTATATTTCCTCCCCTTCCTGAATGTAAAAAAAAAAAAAATTCTTTTAATATGATCTTTAAAATTACATTTTAACTTGCTTTATTTTGCTACATTATTCAGCAGTATAGATGTTACTTTAGCCAAATAATTTTTTTCCTATGAAAATATTACAGTAGGTTACAAAAGTTGACCCACCCTAAGGAAAACTAACAAAATGAAATATTTCTCAAGTTATCCACCTTGCACCTAAAATTTTATAACAATGGCAAAAATGCTTGATTGCAAATATATATCATTCTTTCTTTTTTTTTCTTTTTATACCAACTTTCAAGCTAGTTTTGTAGTTGGAACATTGTACTAGTACGTACTTTAACTAGAGTTTTAACCACTGAAATCTTTAATTCTTTTAGATTAAAATATATTATAGGCAAAAGCCTCTTGTAAATTTTCTTTTATACAACATAATCTTGTTTAGTGGATTAAGATTCCTGAAATTATCTCAGTAGAATTCAAGGTTTTTGGCATTTTTTTTACTATCTCTGACATACAGGCAGATTTTTTGCTTTCCCCATTGTGTCACAAGCAGCACTAGTTGTCAATAATGATTTCACACAAATGATGCTGCCTGTTGGAGTGGAATAAATGTTTGTTTGTTGATAGAACACACAAAATGCATTTACCTGGACAGTTTTGCACATTAAAGATTAAAAATGTTAGTATGAAGAGATTCTGAAAGTTTCTTGGCTTTTAAAATTTAAAAAAAAGTTATTTGGTTATATTTTTGGGCTAGGTTTTCCCTAAAACATTTCAGCATACCCTCCACCCATTTGGTCTCTACTATTTTCTTGTCTGGAATGAAAATTGATAAAGACTTCTGCCTGTTCATTTTGAACAAAAGTAATTCATAATCATAAACTCACTGCTTTTTTTTTTTCTTTTTTTTTTTTTTTCCAATAGTTTTGTTTAAATCATTGCTGGAAAATTTTTCAAGATGCAAGGTGTGTTATTTGACATAAAAATACCATTTTGATAAAGATTTATAAATAACATGCAATTCTGCAATTTTTTTTCTTTAAAAAAGTATAGACGTTTGCAACTCATTGTGTTTCCAAACATAATTTCAGTGACTTGGGATAAATTTTAAAATAAAATGGAGGAGTGTGTCTGTGGGTATAAAAGGTTCTGAAAGTTTTAGAAAAAGAAATTGCAATATTGTAAATGATAATTTTGTTTTTCTAAAATGTTAATCTTAATTCTTTAAAAAGGAGCATGGGATGTTTTTTCAATATCTGTCCTCTTCATTTCAGTAAAAAAAAAAAAAAAGAGAGAGAAATCTCCAGAATTAATGTCATTTTACTTGTATATAAATTGTCCTTTGTTAAATATAAAAACTTTAATATTTTTCTAATGAATCTTTTTTTTTTTTTTTTTTTTGCAGGACTAGAAGAATTGTTGGAAGAGAATCGTAACTTGAAAGAATTAAATCAATGCAAAATCTGTATGGACAATGACATAAATGTGACGTTTATACCTTGTGGCCACTTGGTATGTTGTAGTGACTGTGGCAAGTCTGTAAGGCACTGTCCCTTATGTCGGACCCCGATTGAACGTTCGTTTAGGGTCTATTTGGGATGAGGTCTTCCACAAACTCAAATGGGGTTTCTGCACACAAACTGAGTGAAAGGAGGGTTGATTTTTATTCTACAGTATACATTTTTTCATCTGCTGAGAAGAAATGTGTGGGAAAAAAAAATCTTTCTACTATGGTATTTCCCTAATTTAGCAAATAAGGGAGATGGAGGAGATGTTGATAACAGAGACAATGAGAAAAAAAATAGTTCCAGTTTATAGGTACCAGAAACAGACATTTCCTAAATACAGTGTTTAATCTGGCTGGTTTCTTTCTTCCCTTTCATTACCAAAATTACAGCTTACTTAATCAGCAAACCAATTCTCCATGTCTTTGTGATAATTTTTTTTTTTTTTTTTTTTTTTATTGTGCGTGTTTATCTAGTTGTCTGTTTGTCTGGCTGTTTATGTAACTTCCCATGCAATAAATTCCCTTCCCATTCTTATAATTCTACCAACTCCCTTACTTAATAAAAACGTTTTCCTGATTGTTCTCTCACTCATCTACAGAAAAACTCAGGTCTACAGCATAATTTATGTTCAAATTTGGCTGACCGTTTAATTTAATTTCTTCTTTTTTTTTAATTTTATTTTATTTTTAAAGTTTTTTTTTTTTTTTTTGTTTTTAATTTGTGGCAGCCCATGTGTAGGCCCATATATTTTTATCTCCATTTTTCTGAATGTAAATACTATCCTCTCTTCAGTATTTCTAGCACACATCTCACCCTGTACAAATCACTAGATCACACAAAAGTGAATCAAAGAAGAAATTTAAGTAACAATTTGAAACTACAGACAATTTTCTTTTCTTTTTTTTTTTATAAGTGAAATACGTAAATGTTCTGTGAAGATATCTTTCTTGTTATTATTTACTCTCCTTGGAAAGTAGCAAGATATCCAGTACAACCTATGAAAATAAGTAGCCCTTATCAGTATGTTAGAATAAATATTTCCAGATCAGTCACTGTGTTTGGCTAAATTTAAATCAGTTGAGTGATAGTTTTACCTTTTCTTTATTTTGTCACAGCTCTTTTAATTTTTTTTTTTTTTTTTATACCTGCTCTGTCCCCAAAATCTGAAAAGTAAAAAAAAAAACAACAAAAAAAAAAAAAACACAAAAAAATAAAACAAAAAAAAAAAAACAAACCACAAACCAACATTTTGTGACCAATTGATAAACTATTTATTTATTCTGTAATATATGTGGGGAGTTGGTGTGTGTGTGTGGGGGGGGTCTAACCTAAAAGCTACCAGTTTTATACATAACATTATACAGTTAATCTCACAAATTTATAACCTTCATTAAACTGAGCTGATGCTGCTCATACATAAAACTTCAACCATCAAGTTGCTCCCTGCAGTTGGACTAAGATGGAGGCACCCAACACAGCAGAAGGCAGTAAAATTTCTCTGAAGCCACACTCACTATTCTGCAGACAGTCAAGACAATTATTTTTGTGCACCAAACTAGCCTGCACAAAAGAAAAACTTCAAAGGATATTAAAAAAAAATTGAATTTTATTTAAAAACTGATATATTCCTGTTATATTTTTTATTTTAAACAAAAAGAATAGCATCAAGATTGAAAGAAGCTTCTTTTTTTTCCTTTGAAATCAAGTTTATTCATTTAGTTTAGCTTTGTGTATGCAAAGTTTATATTTTATTTTATTTTTTTTTTTATTGGGAATAAGTCACCAGCCAGTCTCTTTAAATATTTGAATTGAATACATCTTGTCTAGTTGACATACCTGAAAACTGGACTATGTGTGGTTACCTCCCTTGTGCTGCTGCTGCTGCTATATCCTTGTCAAGTACCACTGCCACTGCTGGGTCATGTCAATTGGCAGTGCGTGGCAAAGCCAGTAAAAGAAAAATCACTGCTGGACAAAATTGGGCATATTGGTAGAAACGTCTGCTTCATATGTTGGACTACTGGTACTTCTGTCTTTACCAATACAAGTCACATTTATCTTGCATGTAAACAACTGGTTGTATAATGGTTTGGCTCAGATTGAGTTTCATTCCTTCAAAAAATAACAAAGCAAAAGAAGAAAAAAAAAAGGCAATGTATTTACCAAGGAAAAGATTAAATTGCAGAACAAATGAAGTGAGATGAAAGAACCCATAGATATAGAGAAGGGTGCAGCATCGTGCTGATTATAAATGTTCTAAGTTATTGAAATGATCAAGCTGTAAACTATTGTGAAATAATAAATCCTGATATGTGTGGCATTTTACTTGGAGTGTTCCTACAAACCTTTACACACATATACACACATTGGTACATATAAATTTACACATGTTCACAATACAAACATATATGCCTGACAAAGTTAATGATTATACTTCCACATATTTACTGTAAATTTTTTTCTTCAGAAGTATTGAGTTGAAACCAAAACAGTGTATATGTAAATTGAAACTAACTGACTAGTAATTTTGTCCAATTTAGAATGAATGTTATTTGTCTAGTTCAATAGCACCTATTAACAATGTAATTACTCCTTTTAAATTGACATCCTAATTAATTTTTATTGAAAATTTTTAATTTAGAAAATGGTTCCAGATTGGAGCATTAATCTGATCCTAAATTCATTTATTTGGTCATTTTTTAAGTTTTTAAAATCAGGTACATAAGTATATCAGAATGTGTGGAATAGAATTTGTTGGATTTCTGTTTCTTTGTATATGTACACACATAAAAACACAAAAATTCTCAATTATCTACAATAATACTAAGTACTCATTTGCGTATTTTCTGGATTTTGAAAATTCAATCAGTTTTTAAAAAGGTCTATCATGAAAATGACCTTACCTGGTCAGCCAATGGGAAAATTTTAGTACATTGTTGCTACTGTTGTTAGCATAAAATTTATTTTGAATAGAAAATACCAGATGAAAACTACTAAGAATTTCAAATGAGTTTAGTTCAGAAGTCTTTTTTCTTTCTCCTCCTCAAATACTTTTCTAATTTATTTAAACAAAAACTGATGTCTGGCTATGCTTTCACTTGGTTTCTTTCTATACTTTCTGCTTACTTTATTAAGTTCTCAACTTATTGTCATGCTAAATGAAAAGAAAGTAGCGTTCAACTTTATAAGGGATTAAACACTTAAAAAAAAAATGTGCTAAATTATCTGAGGCAAATTTATACATCATTGTTTTTTTTTTAATCATTTTGATATTACTCTGAGCTGAAAATATTACTTGGGCGATCAGTATTTTTAACACTTGAATAGGGGTGGGAATAAATGAACACAATAATATTTTATGTTCCATGTTATATATATATATCACACCTTTAAAATGGGTTTGTTAAAGATAACATGAGTGGTTCAAAGAAAGAATTTACATCTGACTCCTGTTTATGCTACCAAAATTTCTGGGGAAAAAAGTAAGATTGAACCAAACAAGATATTGAACAGAGGTTGTGAGCTGAGATACCTTTTCTTAATTTGGTTCATTTATTTATTAAATTGTTCTTAGTTCTCTGGTGGTTGTATAATTCTTGCAGGTGATTAATGTGTTTATTGAGAATAAAACTAGGAGTTAAATGAGAAGTTAAAATCAACTTTTTGTTGTGATACTTCTTATATATTCCAGTACTCATATTTCAATAGTTGCTGACTAAAAATTGCTGAAATTACTTCTGGTAAAGATGTTAGTACTTTCCTTAGCTAAGCTATTTCATGCCTTTGATATTGATCTTTTTTTCTTTTCTTTTTTTTTCCTATCCTCAATGGATGAACTATTGTGATAACACACACATTACACAAAAGTCATTATTATTAATTTTTTTTTAATTCATTGTCAAGTAAATGACTGCCTCACCAGTTAAAAAAAAAAAAAAAAGTTTATTTTGGGTGGAAGAGAATTTATCACAAATATTAAGACATTTAAATTTGCTTTATAAAAACATTTTAATGTTTTATTTTTTTTACAAGGCAATCCAGAGGAAGGCAACTTAGGCAGGGCTTGAGGCTGTAAATTATTTTTGCTGGGGTAAGTTAATGAAACAAAAATAAAATATGACCATAATTCTTATTGTTTTAAAATATATGTATGTATTATTTATTATATGCTTCAAAAATAGTCTTTGAATTTCAATTATTTATATAGACAGTATATTATGCAAGCATTCAACTTGTTTGTATTGTATGAAGGAAAGATATCTCATATTCTTGAGCATTACTAATATTTTTTATGTTTAAAGTATTTTTAACTCTGCATTAGTCATGGAGTATTTTATTACCCCCAAATTTTTAAAGTACTCGTAATTCCTAGTTGGCAGCTTCTTTTGCTCTCTCCCACTACTCTCCTAACTCAGTGAGGGCATGTAGCATGCAGTGTGGTGCAGTTGTAGCTCACTTGTCATGGGATGTAGATGCCAAGGGACTATCCATTTTCAGAAATCTGCAGTGACTAATGCAGGGTTAAGTGTATAGATATTTATTGTTTTAAGTTAACCTAGGGTTGTCTTTCTTTAGCTTTTACTTTTTATATTGATAATATCACCAAAAAGATTTAAAAAAAACAAAAAAAACATGAACACAATATTATCTGGTATTACTAGTTGAATGTGAAATAGAAACCATTTTTATATAGAAGTAACATTTTTAATGTTAAAGTAATTGGTTGGCCTTTGATGTAAGTTTGTTCTGATTTGGGTTTGAGAGCAACTATCTTTAACTAAAAGTATTTTTGATGAGTACATTCAAATATTTATTAAATTGATCTTGGCAAACTGAATAAACTCTAAAATGTTTGGAATATTTAACCCTTTCCAAACAGGTCAGCTAAACACAATATATACTTTATTGTATTTACTTACCATAGAAGCAACCAAAACCAGATATTCATGAGTAAAATAAAAGCCTCTACTATATCGCATATACAAAATATGTATAGTATAGAGAGGTCAACTTGTGTAAATAGCTCACCAATTTAATTTAAACTTGAATTATCTTAAAATTGACAAACTTTAAACAAATTCAGTCTGGAGAGGG